TGCGCCTCCGTACCTCTGCACTTTACTTCCTCTGAGTCTCAGTGTGCTTTTCTCTTTCCTTCTAGTTGTAGAATTTCCACTCAGCCAGCCTTCCTGTGGTTCTGGATGATGTCCGTTTTGTCTTTTAGTTGTATTTTTGAAGTGGTTGTGCGAGGCAGCAATTTCCTTGGCTATAATTCTTGAAGCTTATTTTCTGATTGAACATTCTTTAATTTTAATTTCACAATACACAGCTTGATTAAATTTATTGGAGAGGTACCTTTTGCCTTGCCTGAGCACTGCCAAAAATGTCTTTATATTTCTTAATAAAACTTTATTTGGTGAGCTATTAAATTTAATCTTATGGGAAAGATCTACCCTTCAGATTTTATTTTTCTTGAAAATGCTTATAATTTTATCATGTTTTTAGCATTTTAATGGTGATAGAGAATTAAAACTTTTAAAAGTTTATTGGGGAAGAGAGCAACAACCCAGAGTTCTCATATCTAGCTTGGTACATCATTGCATTTCCCCAAGTTAGCTGAGTCCTTGTTAGAATTTTCCCCAGCTTCTTTGTGACTGGTTCATTATTAAAACCGCTGCTCTTCTTAACCATTGCATTATACTATCTCCAATTCTCTCATGTTTTATCTATCCATGTTTTGGCTAATCATATTGTTTTGTGACATAAACAAGTTGAACTTCTTTCTGGCTACCTGGAAGCTTATTTAAGCAGGAGTAAATGTACCAAAGAAATATAGGTGGACGTTTGTTTTCTTGAGTCAAGCAGTAGAACAGTGAAAATATGAGATAAGCTATAGTTTTTATTCTTCATTTTACTTTATTTGGAGATTGTATTATAAAATGCCAATGTAGAGAGATTAAATTGATTTATGTAGAAACTGCTTGACACAGAATGAAGTTTAGAAGATAGCAGAAATCTAATGAGGTCTTTGAACTGAGTAATTGTTAGTTGCTCTGTACTTGCATTTCCTTATATCTATAAATGAGGTTAGTGGTTAATTCCCATTATGAAAATTATTAAAAATACAAGAAACCAATTAACACTATAGTACTAGAAGTTATATTTGATTGTTAATGGCCAAGTGTTGTGATAAGACACTTGCGAAGAAGATATAAGAGAATAAGAGTGTCTTACTATTGTGTCAATTTTGTTGTAACGGCAAATTCAAGATAACTGGCATTAAAAAAAATAATTAGTTCTTTAATGCATCAAAAATAGTCTGCAGCTATCATTAGTGTCAAATTGGAAAGCAGTCTTAAATGAAGATAAACTTTTTTATCTTAAAATTTATTTATTTATTTATTTTTTTAATATATATTTTATTGATTTTTTACAGAGAGGAAGGGAGAGGGATAGAGAGTTAGAAACATCAATGAGAGAAATACCGATCAGCTGCCTCCTGTACACTCCCCACTGGGGATATGCCCGCAACCAAGGTACATGCCCTCGACCGGAATCGAACCTGGGACCCTTGAGTCCGCAGGCCGACGCTCTATCCACTGAGCTAAACCGGTTAGGGCTTAAAATTTATTTTCTATACGACAAGGAACATACATCCAAAGTGATGAAACAGAAAGCCAGGAAGAAGCATGTATGTTAACTCAATAACAAAAGAGTTAATTTGATCATATTACAAATCTGAAAATAGGAAACTTACATAGTCCTTGACAATTACATTAGTTTTGGCACACAGAGGATGTTCAATAAAGATTTAGGGTAAGTATAAGTGTTATGCATATTTTTTTTTGTTATGCATATTTTTAAAATGTAAAAAAAACCAAAAAACCTCAAATTATATTCCACCATTAAATTGCAAATTTGACACCATTAACAAATTTGTAGGCAATTCTATTCTATTTCTAATGTAGAGGAAGGCATGAGAAATACAGAGTCGGTAGTTTTTACTATTCATTTTCTTACCGTCTAGTGTAGAGAATTTTAGAAAACTATCAGGCATAGCTTAAAAATACTAGGGGACACCTTATCTGTACTCAGAAGTAATACTAGGCATATGTACTTATTTTTGTTGTTTGTAGTGCCAATAATCCTCCATCTGGAAATGAAGATGAAACTGCTGAGAATGGAGTACCTAAACCGGTAATATAAGGATTTGAAATCTAGTTACTTCTCTGTTTAAAATCTTTATCAATAGTTTTGCCTTCACTTAGGAATAAAGCCAAAATTCAATATGACTTTCATTATCCTGCTTGATCTGGCCCCCTCTTACATCACTTACCTCATCTGGTGCCATCAAAAGCATAACGAAGAGAAGTAGTGGGAAGATTTCAGATGAAATAGGGCATGTGCATAGGCTTGATGTTTATTTCAAGGAACTGGATGGTCATAGATCATCTAAATAGCTCATACCCTGATTTTCAAAGCGAACATTTGAGTCTTAAAACCTAAGTTTGATTGCCATGTTTTTTAGCAAAAAGTTTTCTTGTATAAGTGACAGTATTTGCCCTCATCCCTGTTGAAAGTGATGTTTTTTGGAGGTGTGTGAACATATTATGGGTCCTATGACTATTTTTAACATTTTACCCCCCCCCCCCATAGTTTAGTTACTCTACAAGTTTGTATCAAAAATTATTTTGCCTAGTTTTTCTACTTTTAAAATTTACAATTATGTGACAAAACACAAAATAGCCTTTTAGAGCCACAGCAAAAGCTTGTAAATGGCCTTTCTTTTACTCATAGAAACAAAGTATTCCCTCAACCATTTGCATGCAGGGCCTCTTGTAGGTGTCCCCCAATAGTTTAGTTACTCTACAAGTTTGTATCAAAAATTATTTTGCCTAGTTTTTCTACTTTTAAAATTTACAATTATGTGACAAAACACAAAATAGCCTTTTAGAGCCACAGCAAAAGCTTGTAAATGGCCTTTCTTTTACTCATAGAAACAAAGTATTCCCTCAACCATTTGCATGCAGGGCCTCTTGTAGGTGTAAATGAATTCCAGGAATAAGTGAGGTGCTCCCTAACTATTTGGGGCTTTTAAAATTTTTTGTTAATCCCTACCCAAGGATATTTTTCCCATTGATTTTTTTTTTAGAGCAAGTGGGTGGGAAGAGAAACATTTGGTTGCTTCTCACACACACCCTACTAGGCCAGTAAGGACCCTACTACCCAGGTATGCGCCCTTGACTGGGAATCAAACGCACAACCTTTAGGTTCTCTGGCCAATGCTCTACCACTGGCCAGGGCTATTTGGTGGATTTTAACCTTGACACTGTGACTCTTAAAATTGTTTTCCTCTTAACTTTATATATTCTTTTCACCAAGAATTTCTCTAATACTTTTTAATAATTTTATCTTCTTTATATATTAGTAAATTGCCTTAGATCCTTTTTTCAAGAGGAGCCGTTATAAATGATAGAAAAAAAATACGTTATTTACGAAAAGATGATGGTGAAAAAAGGTTTTCACATTCTTATCCTTTTTATCATGTAAAATATTGAAGTTATAAATGAGTTGAAATAAGGATCAGTTCTGTGAGCTTGTAACTTTTTTCTGTAAATCTATAGCTTAATTGCAAAACGGTTACTTTTCATTTATTCATATCAGATACTGAAATGGATTATTGAATGTATTTTATATTTGTTTATGTTGGTATAGAAAGTGACTGAGACTGAAGATGATAGTGATAGCGACAGTGATGATGATGAGGATGATGTTCATGTCACTATAGGAGACATTAAAACGGGAGCACCACAGTATGGGTAAGTTATTTTTAAGTAACAATTGTGTGACTAAATCAAAGGTAGTATGCCTATATCAAGCCATCAGTGGTTGATTTAATTGTGTTTTTTTTTTTTACATTTTTTCCATCTTAACCATGAGTTGATAAGAGAATAGAGCTTAAAAATTCTCAGCATAAGGAAAAATATTTGTAACTAAGTGTGGTGATGTATGTTAACTAAACTTTGCAATTTAAACATATTGCATCAGGCTGTACACCTAAAATTAATATTATTTTTTAAAATCTATTTTTATTGATTTCAGAGAGGGAGAGGTAGAGAGAGAGAAACGCTGGTGATGAGAATCATTGATTGGCTGCCTCACCCCCTACTGATCGAGCCCCCGCAACCCAGGCATGTGACCTTGTCTGGAATGGACCCTGGGACCCTTCAGTCCGCAGGCTGACACTCTATTCACGGAGCCAAACCGGCTAGGGCAATATATGTTATACTTTAATTGCAGCTCATGATAAAAGGAATTTCACCATGACAGTATTTCTTTTCTAAAGATAATTAGGTAAAATTACATGGGAGCAGCAGTATTTTTGATTTCTGAAATTAAAGTTTTTATAAATGAATTGAATACAACAAATTCTTTAGTTAGAATTAGAAAACCTTAAATTGAAGTTTGTATCTGTATTGTTTTGAGATTTTATTACTTATCCAAAGCTGAGTTTAGGTTTTTAATTTTTTTGTCCAATAAAAACAATATCAAAAGTATTGCTTTTTGATCTTCATAGTGTTTTTTTTTTAAATTATCAATTATCCCGTAGACTTTTTTCAGTAACATTCTGAATCAAGTGAGTGACTCATTAACTATGTATAAAATCTTATGGAAATATTGGAAGGGAATATATTAAAGTACAGGTTGTGATTTTGTTTGGTGGTAGCATAAGAGTCAAGGTGGTATGTGTTTTTAGATTGAATGTATAATGTAGTTGTGCATTGGGCACATAAAATAAACTTTTCATTAATTGTACTATATAGTTTATTAAGCAGCCTTATCTGGAATCAACCAATACATATATATACAGTACACATCAGTACATTTGAAGATGGGTGGGCAAAAGTAGGTTAATAATAATGATACTGATGATATAATAAGTAATAAATAATAATACAAGAATAAATTGTTTACTATATTCACACTGTAAACTTACTTTTTCCCACCCCTGCATTTTGTCTCTTCAGTAGAGCCTTTGTTTTCAAAAGTTTTTTATTTCAGGAGCTCAATTTTACAATATAATAATGATTGCCTCTGTAATTTTAAAACCCTAGCAACTTTTTTCGGAGCAGGGTTGAGAAGAGACTAAATTACTTATGTTAGAGGTAGATAACTATTTTTTAAAATATATTTTTAATGATTTCAGAGAGGAAGGGAGAGGGAGAGAGATAGAAACATCAAGGATGAGAGAGAATCATTGATCGGCTGCCTCCTGTAGGCCCCCTACTCGGGATCAAGGCCACAACCCTGGCATGTGCCTTTGACTGGAATCAAACCTGGGATCCTTCAGTAGCAGGTCAATGCTCTGTCCATGAGCCAAACCGGCTAGGATGAGGTAGATAACTTTTGAAGTTCTCTTTATCCCCACTTTTAAAATAAATAGTGTTGGGCTTATAATATGTTAGCCGGCATCTAGGCTAATAGACCTTTACCATCTGCATTATGCAAAAGAAACACTTTAATATGATATACTACTCATGGCGTATTTAGCAAATACTTTTATATAAAATTTGTATTTGCAAGTATAGAACAATTAAAGCAAATGGTGATTTCTTTATTAATATGACCAATTTTTGGTAGGAATCACATGCAGATATTAAATGCTCAGACTCCCATAGTACTTTCTCTGAACTTTATTTCTTACAGCAATTTCCAGTTCATGAATTCTACTTATGTTTATACATGTTTGAACTCTAAATTCCTTAAGAGTAGAAATCTTGGCTTATGAATTTTCCTATCCCTTATATTGCCTTTTATCTAGTAAGTATTCAATAAATCTTTATTGACTGAGTAGATTACATGTTAAAACATAGTTGTCTTTGAACATTTTTTCCTCAACATTAGATTATGAAAATTTTCAAATATTCAGAAAAGTTGAAAGAATTGAGATGTGAACATTTATTTACCCATTACCTAGGTTATACAATTTACATTTTTCTATGTTTGCTTTATAATATATACATATACACACACACACATATGTATATATACACATATATACATGGCTAGATGGAGATATATAGATATATACACACACATGTACCCATGCATTTAATGTGTTTTGTTTTTTAATGTGTTTTTTTAAATCCTCATTTGAGGATTTGTTTTTTATTGAATTTAGAGAGATGAAAGGAGGGGGAGAGAGAAATACTGATGTGAGAAAAAATGTTGATTGGTTACTTCCTGTATGCGCCCTGACCTGGTATTGAACCCTCAATCTTATTTTTAAAATGTATTTTTAATGCATTTCAAAGTAAGCTACAGATCTTTCTGAAAGGTATAAAGCTTATTTAACCTTGATAACTCAAGATATATTCCTTGAAAACTGAAAGAAAACCAGTGAAAAAATTAAATTTAGTGGCTATTTACTTTGTGTACACTTCACAAGCATGTTTAAAGAACAAATTATGTTTGAGAAACAATACTAAATTGGTTTATTGTTAGCTCTTAGAAAGTACAAAATAGAATTTTTTGACAACATACTTTTGTTACAAAGTTCATTTTATCTATACAGTAGGAAGAAAAGCTGTTAGGAACAATATCTTGTATAGAGAAATAGTTTCTTAGCTGTGTCTTTGAGATTCATCCATTCTTTCATTAAGCACTTTTCAAAGACAGTTTGGCACTGTACTAATTGATGATGGGGTTATCTATAATAGTAAAAGCATAATACGCTAATTAGACTGGACGTCCTTCGGGACAAAGCCGGGCTGCGAGGGAAGCCTGGGTCACGGGTGCCTGCTGGCAGCCGGAGGGACGCCGGTGCTGGCAGCCAGAGGAAGGAAGGCCTATTTTTGCACGAATTTCATGCATCGGGCCTCTAGTAAAAAATAATATAATAGTCCTTTTTTTACCAGAATTAGTGAGGAAGACAGAGCAATACTTTTAGCGAGTGTAAGTGCAAGAATAGAAACATATACAAAATGATTTGAAAGCTTTGAGAGGAGAGTTGCTATAAGCCTACAGGTGTTGGAAGATGCTAGAGGGCTATTTTAACTTGTTTGAATAATTCTTGAGTTAAAATGATTTAGGTAGAAGATACTATTTAGATGTAATGCAAGCATGGTTTAAGGAACCACATGCCTGAAGGATAAAGGTAAATGAGAGAGGATGGTTGAAACTATTTAAGGAGAAGGGAGTTAGACTGTTTTTGCTATGTTATCATGGAACCTTTGAAGGTTTTTTTAGGCAAGTCAGCTTATTTGCAAAGATAAATAGTAGCAGTAAACTAGTTAGATATTAGTTGTCAAAGTGATTGTCCACATGAGATAATCCAAACGAAGCCAACAGCAGTAGTATAGGGATGAATGGGAAAATAAGGTATATTTGAGTATTAATTAGAAATAAATTGGTAACTGATTAGTTGTGGATGGAGAGGGAGAAAAAGGACTCAATGACTTACAGGTCTCTAGAGAAGTTTATTGAGTCCATAGCAGTGCTATATAAGTGAATAACCTATGTCTCAAATTTAGTACATTGGAGACCAAAAGGTGGAAATTATTAGAATTATTAGGAAAGTTCAGTTAGCTAAACTTGTTAGGGTAAAGAACCAAGTTAAATAACATGGATATAATGTGAGAATATGTCATTGAAAACATTGTCTATAACTTGAGGTCTTACTAATACCTATTTGCTCTGTGGGAATGGAGCCTTCTTCCTTACCTACTCCCTTTTGTCCCCTTTTCCCTAATCTCCCCAATAATGTATAAGCCTATTTTGGTCAGTATATATGATTTTCCTACTCTTACATAAGAATGCATTATATGGAAAAGCAGGGAAGTATCTATAAGCTCATTAAAGAAAATGTATACAAGGTCTATGGGGTGTTAAGTGACTTGGCTAAGATTATACAATTAATAAACTTGTATTTGAACTTGAGTCTGTGTGACTCTGAATTTTTTCCCTCCATCACATGTATGTTATACTACATTAAAAAAGGCGCAGCTCAGTAATTTTTTAGAGTGTATAGATCAGGGGTGGGCAAAATATTTGACTCGAGGGCCAGAATGGGTTCTTAAACTGGACCGGAGGGCTGGAACAAAAGCATGGATGGAGTGTTTGTGTGAACTAATATAAATTCAAAGTAAACATCATTACATAAAAGGGTACGGTCTTTTTTTTTTTTTAGTTTTATTCATTTCAAACGGGCCGGATCCGGCCCGTGGGCCGTAGTTTGCCCACGGCTGGTATAGATTCATGTAACCACCATCCAAATTAAGATATGGAACATCACTAGTATTCTAGAAACTTCCCTCTTGTTTTCTGTAGTCATTAACAACAGACCACCACCAAGCACTGCTCTGCTTTTATTCTGGACTTATTTTTGAATTTCATGAAAATTCATTTTATGGACAGATATACTCCATGGGTATTTGAAAGAGGATTTATCAACAGTATCAAGTGCAGGAAGGATTAAAGGGAGGACACTGTATTTGGGAATAAGGTAGAGAAATTTCATTCTTGCAGGATTGCTGTGTATGTTGCATCAACTAGATGAGGAAATGAAGACAAGCATGTAAACTCTTATTTTCTTCCCAGCCAAATTTTCTGTGAAGTGTGCTATAGTGGGATATTGAGTTAGTGGCAGGTGGGTTTTTGAGATGGAAAACAAGTCACACTTTTAAACAATATTTTTATCTTTTATTGAGCAAGTGACAGACTTTTAAATTAGTTTAAAACATTTTCTGAATTGTGTCATTGTCAGTTTATTCAGTTACTATGTGATTGTATAATTTGTATAATTAAATGTATTGCTGTTTCTGTTTAAGTTTCTCAGGATAATTTTTATTTTGTTTTTAGGAGTTATGGTACAGCACCTGTAAATCTTAACATCAAGACAGGAGGTAGAGTTTATGGAACTACAGGTAAAATTTTTATTTGCAGCTGCAACAATAGAAAAATAAGGCATATATCTGAGTAGGTGTTAGGTTGTAATAGGTCAATTAAAAATAACAGTTTGACCATATATCACAGGGCTAGATAATAAATATTTTAGTCTGTATGGGCCACATAGGATTCCTGCCATGGTGTTTTGCTTGTTTATTTAACTTGTTTGTCATACAACCATTTAAAAAGGTAAAAGCATTTCTTATCTCACAGACTGTACAAAAACCGATATAAAACATGGAAGTTAGCAATTTCCTAGTGGTACAGGAATCCCTTATTGTAAATAACAAGTCCCTAGTCTCTATCCATTTTATGTTATAGCTATACCATAAAGTTTGACCTTAACTTTTATTTATGGTAAGCATTATTCTAATGCTTTGTTTGGAACCTTAGCCATATTGAGTGCTAGCAACAGTTAAAAAGGTGTCAGAGTATCTCTCAGCCTCTTGCTAATGTAGCTCCTTCACCATTTTGTAATTTTATAAAACAGGAACAAAAGTCAAAGGAGTAGACCTTGATGCACCTGGAAGCATTAATGGAGTTCCACTCTCGGAGGTAGATTTGGATTCTTTTGAAGATAAACCATGGCGTAAACCTGGTAAGATTAATGGTGGATTATATCGGTTTCAAAAGATTTGTAGAATAAACAGTCATTAGAAAGTATTTTTCAGTATCAATTTAGAATATTATTGTTTTAATGTCATTTTTGTAGTCTTAAGCTCAGGAGAGTAATAATGAATTTAATAATGAATTAATGTAATAATAAACTAATCATTAATAATGAATTTATTAAATCTTGCTGATAGCCTAGCATTATATTAAAGTAGACTTGCATATTGTTTTATTATAATGCATTTCTAAAGGAAATAGTTCTGATAAAAAGTTCTTATAGTTCTGTTGCTTTATGGTAATTGGGAGAGCTGGTAAAATTAGAAAGGGTGATAAGACTAGACTAATAGAACTCTAAATTTATATTTTACAGTTTATTACATTTTATATGCTGCAAAACAATAGAATTGAAATATTTGTATACTAAAAGTGTGTTTTATCTTTAGGTGCTGATCTTTCTGATTATTTTAATTACGGGTTTAATGAAGATACCTGGAAAGCTTACTGTGAAAAACAAAAGAGGATACGAATGGGACTTGAAGTTATACCAGTTACCTCTACTACAAATAAAATTACGGTAATTAATAAAATGTTCCAAAATACTCCGGCACTTTCTACTGTACCAATTTTACTTCTAAATAAGTCACTTTTTCCTGCAAAGGTGGTTAAAAGCTATATGAGTTTAAAAATTCTGTTCTTGTTCCCATGTTGGGTTTTTTCCCTTTCTTCCCTTTCAGTTTTATATTAATGATTTTCTGATGTTCTTCATTTCAAGTCTCAAACTAGGCACAGCTAGTTTGTCTTTATATGGCCTATCAATTAAAAATTATGTGGTATCTTAATGGGGAATATGTTATTTAACTTAGGCCGAAGACTGTACTATGGAAGTTACACCAGGTGCAGAGATCCAAGATGGCAGATTCAATCTTTTTAAGGTGAATTTTAGTAAATTATCCTTGGTTGCTCTCATTTTTTTGTTCTTGAGTCTGCTTCCCTACCACTACTCAAGGACAATAATAAAGTGGAATAGCTCCTTTTTTCCAAACCTTCAGCTTCCTGGTTACTTACAAAGTTGCTCATTGTTGTTTTATCTCCACTTTTGTAAGCATGTGAATTTATAGCCTATTATACTAACAATTGCCAAGTAAAACTATTCTTGCTATATGTTGTGATTTTATTTTGAGTCATAGTATGTTTGTAGGAGATAATAGTTCACATCAGCAGGTTAAGCTCATTGTAGATCATGCTATAATCTTTATCAGATTTAGGGATTTATTTTACCTAATATTTTTAAAATATATTTTTCTTGATTTCAGAGAGGAAGGGTTAGGGAGAGAGAGAGAGAAACATCAATGATGAGAGAGAATCATTGATTGGCTGCCTACTGCACACCCCCAACTGGGGATCGAGCCCACAACCCAGGCATGTGCCCTTGACTGGAATCAAACCTGGTGGGACTCTTCAGTTTGCAGTCCGAAGCTCGATCCACTGTGCCAAACCAGCTAGGGCTATTTTACCTAATTTTATTTTTAAAAATGGTAAGGAAGATGGCTTATTATCAGCTTGACACTGAAATTATTGGTGCACTTTTAGATAGATCAAGAATCTTCCTCATTCTTTGAGTCTCTCATAAGAGATAAAATAGGATTAAATAGGATAAAACCATTGACTTTTAAATTAATACTTAAAAGAGGAGTAGGGTTTAGTGAGGGACTTGCTTGTTGATACTATTACCACATGCGTGTCAAGTCTTGACTTCTGACTTCTTCATTTCATATAATCACAGACCCAATCCAAAGAATAATATATTTTCATACTACTACACTACATAGCAACCTACTCTTCTTAAAACCTATTTGTGTACTGCTTTCTTGACCTTAATTCTTAATTCTTGATACTTGTATTGAATGACACTGGGATGAAGACTGGGAGTGGCTTTTAGACTGGTTTGTATATTTAGGGAAATTTTTGGACAGGAACTTTTTGTGCCTCTTTTTGGACTGCAGCTCTATCCACTGAAATAGTGCCTTATGCATGTGCTGTATCCACAGATATAGCTACTCTGCTGGACACAGTTCTGTGCACAGAATTTAACTTGTAATATATGTTCTACTCTGGGTATTTGCTGCTTGTTCTGTAACTATTTTGAAAGTGTGTGATGCTGTTTTTCATATTTTAAGTGGTCTTCTGGTTCTTTTTGGTGATATCTACTTATTTAGATATTGATCTATAATAATAAAAGCATAATATGCTAATTAGACCGGACGTCCTTCTGGACAAAGCCGGGGCTGTGAGGGAAGCCCGGGTCCCGGTGCCTGCCGGGTGCCAAAGGGAAGCCAGTGCTAGCAGCCGGGGGAAGAAAGGCCTACTCTTGCATGAATTTCGTGCATCGGGCCTCTAGTGGTTATATATGTTTACAATGAATAGATAGAAAAGTTGTTTTGATGATGAAATAGTTCATTTGCAGTGGTGCTTTGTATTTTCTTCTAACCGAATTGAGAACTTCCTTTGTAAACTGCCAGCTTCTATATACTTTGTCTTTTTGCAGTGAACTTCATAAACTAAAATACAAAAAAGAAACTCCTAAGGATTGGTCTCATATTGAAGGTAGCCATTGTGAATGAGTTTTTTAATATACATACTGTCTATTGAAAAATTATTTTTGAAGTTTCTTTAGGTTATATGAGAGAAAGTCATTGTTTCATTCTGATTTATTAGATTCTGAATGAATAAGGGCATGAATTTGATCGGTGTAGTAATTTCATGCACCGGGCCTCAGTGATGTTATAAAGATCCAAAAGGCCCTTGCCAGAAAAAAAGGTTCCCCACCCCTGCAATAGGGCTAAGCTTTTCTCAGAGCCCCTGATGTCTTTAGGTTGTTTTCCTTTTTTTTCCTTTTTTATGGTAATCTGATTTTTTCAGAGAAAAAATTCCAGTATTCTAATTAGAGGATTTACACTTGGGTGATTGGAATGTTGTCAATTCCTGAACCTTTTGGGATCCTGCCATGAAAATTATCATTGCTTTGTCACTGATTTAGGATTCAGTTTTTTTTTGGTCTGCTAAATCAGTTACTATTTTTCATCTGCTTTCAAAGTCCTAAATTTTGTTGCTCTCCCAATCTTTTTGTTCTTGTTGTAACAAAATTATGATAATTAAGTTATGTGGTTACTTCCTTCCCCATCCTTTCCCTCCCTTCTTTCCTTCCTTCCTTTCTTTTTTGACATTATTATAGATGTCTCTCATTTTTCCCCCCTTTACCCACCTTCACCCAACCTCTGCTCCTCCTTCCCCTCCTGGCTGTCGCCATACTGTTGTTTGTGTGCATGTGCTATGTCAGTGATGGCGAACCTTTTGAGCTCGGCGTGTCAGCATTTTGAAAAACCCTAACTTAACCCTGGTGCCGTGTCACATATAGAAATTTTTTGATATTTGCAACCATAGTAAAAGAAAGATTTATATTTTTGATATTTATTTTATATATTTAAATGCCATTTAACAAAGAAAAATCAACCAAAAAAATGAGTTCGCGTGTCACCTCTGACACGTGTGTCATAGGTTCGCCATCACTGTGCTATGCATATATGTTCTTTGGCTAATCTCTTCACCTCGTTTATCCAGTCCCCTCCATTCCTCTTCCCTCTACTCCCCTCCCCTCTTATTGCTGTCAGTCTGTTTCATGTATCCATGCCTCTGACTCTATGTTGTTCATCAGTTTATTTGGTTTATTAGATTCCACAAATACCACAGATGGTATTTGTCTTTCTGTCTGGCTTATTTTGCTTAGTATAATAATCTCCAGGTCTATCCGTGCCATTGAAAAAGGTAAGACTTCCTTCTTTTTTGCAGCCATGTAGTATTCTATTGTGTAAATTTACCACAACTTTTTTAATCCAGTCCCCTGTTGATGGGCATTTGGGCACTTTCCAGATCTTGACTATTTTAAATAATGCTGCTATGAACATAGAGATGCATATATTCTTTCTAACTGGTATTTCAATAATCTTAGGATATATTCCCAGAAGTGGTATCACTGGGTCAAAAGGCAGTTTCATTTTTAATTTTTTAAGGAAACTCTATATTGTTTTCTACAGTGGCTGCACCAATCTGCATTCCCACCAACAATGTATGAGAGTTCCCTTTTCTCTCCATTCTTGCCAGCACTTGTTGTTTGTTGATTTATGATGGTAGCCATTTTGACATGTATGAGGTGATAGGTTATTGTGGTTTTAATTTGCATTTCTCTGATAATTAGTGACATTGAACAGTTTTTTTATATACTTATTTCCATCTGTATGGAGAAGTATCTATTCAGGTCATTTGCCCATTTTTAATTAGATTGTTTATCTTCCTGGTGTTGAGTTTTTTAAGTTCTTTGAATATTTTAGAAATTAACCCCTAATCAGATGTTGCATTGCCGTTTTTTTCTTTATACCATTGTTCCTCTATCTTTTTCTTAAAGCAGACCCTTTCACATTTCTTGCAATGCTGGTTTGGTGGTCATGAACTCATTTATTAGTCTTTTTATGTCTGGGAAGCTCTTTATTTTAAATTTTAAATGATAGCTTTTTTTTTTTTAGCCCTAGCCAGTTTGGCTCGGTGGATAGAGCGTCAGCCTGCGGACTGAAAGGTCCCAGGTTCGATTCCGGTCAAGGGCATGTACTTTGGTTGCGGGCACATCCCCAGTGGGGGGTGTGCAGGAGGCAGCTGATCGATGTTTCTCTCTCATCGATGTTTCTAACTCTCTATCTCTCTCCCTTCCTCTCTGTAAAAAATCAATAAAATATATTAAAAAAAAATGATAGCTTTTTGGATAGAGTGGTCTTGGATGCAGGTCCTTTTTTTTCATTACTTTGAATACTTCATGCTAATCTCGTCTGGCCTGAAGTGTTTCTGTTGAGAAATCAGCTGCCAGCCTTGTGGGAACTCCCTTGTAGATAATTAACTATCACTCTTGTTGCCTTTAAGATTCTCTCTTTGTCTTTAACCTTTGCCATTTTAATTATGATATGTCTTGGTGTGGGTCTCTTTGAGTTCATCTTGATTAGGACTCTGTGTGTTTCCTGAACTTGTGTGACTTCTTGCCTCACCATGGTAGGGAAGTTTTTTGTCATTATTTCTTCAAACATGTTCTCTATCCCTTGCTCACTTTCCTCTCTTTCTGGCTCCCTTATGATGCTGATGTTTTTACATTTCATGTTCTCCTAAAGTGCCCTTAAACTATCCTCATTCTGATTAATTATTTTTCTTTTTTCTGCTGTTTTGAGTGTTTGTTTTCTACCTTGTCTTCTAAATTGCTGATTCAATCCTCTGCTTCATTCAACCTACTTTATTCCTTTCAGTGTAGTCTTTTTTTTTTTTTTTGCCACTTGGGTGTCATTTTGGGAAAATACTTAGTTCTTTTGCCCAGTTTTTAATCATATTTTCTAAAATCCTCACCTGAGGACATGCTTAGAAGAAGAGGGGTGGAGAGAAAGAGAGGACATCAGTTACCTTCCATACATACCCCGACCAGGGATCCAACCTGCAATCCAGGTATGTTCCATGATCGGGAATCTTTTTGGGCAGAGGATGATGCTCAACCATTCCAGCTGGGCCCTTGCAGTGTATTCTTGATGTCATTCTTCATTTCCGACTGGTTATTTTTTTATGGTTTGTATGTTCTTTTTCATGTGTTGTGGTTTTCACTAAGTTTTTTGAGCATACTTATTTACCATTACTTTAGGCTCTGTATCTGATAAATTTCTTGCTCCATTTCATTTACCTCTTTTTTTTGAGATTCCTCCTGTTCTTTCAGTTGGGGCCTGTTTCTCTGTCTCCCCATTTGACTCTCTCTTTGTGTTTGTTCCTATGTATTAGATAGAAACACTATGACTCCCCATCTTCATGATGTGGCCTTATGTAGTAGGTGTCCTTTGGGACCCAGTGGTGCAGT